CAACATGCTTGTAAAGTTTATTACTTTACATTATTAATACGTAATCTCAGTTTTAACTTCCTTTTAACATTTTTTATATCAGGGAATTATATCTTGGTATCTGTAAATCTGCAAAAATGTACTCAATATAATGTGAAATGAGAAAAAAAAATACTTGAATTGATTGATGTTCTCTGGGTTCATGATTGATATCACAACAGTTTTACATCAATGTAATAGCATTGAATTCAGTGTATTTATTTCTGATTTATACTACATCCAGAAACAGTCACTCCATGTTTTTGTCTCCATAATGAAAATAATCAAATTTGACCTCATGACTTATCATCATAATTACCACTGAATTCAGGGAGACCTGTTCTCACACATCCAGAGCAGAATTTGGCTCTGTCTCATTATCAGTATTGTTACTTATGTGAAAAATGTATTAGCAAATAGTTAGGTCTCAGCATGGAGGAAACAGAATTTTCAGGTTATTTTCAGTCTTTTTCTTCCTCATCTGTGTCCTTGCTCAATCTCTGCCCCTTATCCTTGAAGAGTCTTCCTCCTGTCCTCTATCTTTTAGCACTGGCTGCATTTTCAGAACTTCTTGGTCATTGATTGGTCAAGGCTATGTCTAGACAGCGGCGCTAATTCAGAATACTGGAAGTGTCCCAAAATAGCTATTCTTCATCTTTAAATGCACCCGTTATTTCAAAATACATTTTGAAATAACGGGCGCACTAATCGGGCGTCCCGGTAATCCTCATTCCACAAGTGTTAAGGGATGCTTTGGAATAGCATTTTATTTAGAAATTAGATTGAAATAAGATACACAATTTGCGTAGCTCAAATTGTGTATTTTATGTGGACCTACGGGTACAGTATAGATGCACCCCAGATTAATAAATTCAGGTTTCTTTGCTGCTTATTATCCTGCTTTCCAGCCTTTACATCTTTATCTTACTGTAATCCTCCTTTCCCTCCTTGCAGCTATATAGATGAATCTCCTTGTCTGTCCTTTGATACCCTGATCAGTTTGCTTGGTTTTGCCCAGCAATTCATTTCTTGGATCTAAGTGCATTTGTGTACGATTCATTTTAAAACCCATATTCTTGGGACTCTGTCAGCAGGTATTAGTATGATCTAAGCAGCTGACCTCTTCTCTGTGTTGTTGCTATGTTCTCTACACATGTATATTAATTTTTTGTAACACCAGCAGTTAGGAAGATCAGTACACCAGTAGATGGAGAGGAGCAGCAGTGGAGTAGTCAAAAGCAGCAATCTAACATGTGCAAGGATTGAAGAAGGAGCCAACATCCATTAAATTAGGAACTGATTTAAAGAGACAGTGAAGAGCTTTTAGGAGACCAAAAAGATAAACATTGTTCAACTTCAAGAGCTAGACAGAGTAAAAGGCCTTTGGGAGTCTTTCAAGCCTATTAACAGCATAAACAAAATCCACAGAGTTTTCTTGCTGACTTTATAATAAATATTATATCTTAATAGTCAAAAGCACTATTTTTCACAAGACACTAAAGCAAAATTTTGTATTGTTTGTGAAGCTATTAATGGAGTGATTGATAAATAAGAAGCATGTTTTTAAATGATCAATGAATTTTGTTAAACTTTCATAGAATCATAGAACACTAGAACTGGAAAGGACCTCTAGAGGTCATCGAGTCCAGTCCTCTGCCCTCATAGGGTTGCCAGGTGTCCGGTTTTGAACCAGACAGTCCAGTATTTGAGCTTTCTGCTTGGGAAACAAATTGAGAAAATATAAATGAAAAAATATAAATGTCCAGTATTTTCTAAATAATATGTAATGTAGATTGTGATATAATGTCAAGTGTGTCCGGTATTTTTGTTGAAACCATCTGGCACCGCTGAAGCCAGGACCAAGAACTGTCTAGACCATTACCCAGCCATGCTGTATTTCAGTGCTCTTCATTCTATCTTAAATAGTTATTTTGAGACCAAGCGCTGCCAAAGTTATTCATTCTAGCACTCTTGATTCACAGGAGAGGTCCTATTGACTTAGGGTATGTCTAAACAGCAAAGTTATTTCGAAATAACAGCCCTTATTTTGAAATAACCTTCCTAGGCTACGTCTAGACTGCAAGTCTCTTTTGAAAAAGAGCGTCTAGACTGCAAGCAGTACTTTCGAAAAAGCAAGCCGCTTTTTCAAAAGAGGACTCCCAGGCAGTCTGGATGCTCTCTTTCGAAAAAGCCCTGTTTGTATTCAAGAATGCCTTTCTTCGAAAGAACACTTTCGAAAAAAGGCATTCTTCCTCGTGAAATGAGGAGTACCGCCGTCAAAAGAAAAGCCACATTCTTTCGATTTAATTTTAACGTGGATGTAGTCTAGACGCAGGTGAAGTTTTTTTGAAAAAAGGTTACTTTTTTCGGAAAAACCCTGCAGTCTATTCACAGCCCTAGTGTCTACACAGCCAAACCACTATTTTGAAATAAATTCAAAATAGCAGAGTACTTATTTCAAATTTGGTAAACCTCATTCTACGAGGAATAACACCAAATTCGAAATAGCTATTAGCATATTTCAAAATAAGTGCTGTGTAGACACTTATTTTGAAATAGGGGGCCTCCAGCCTTTTCAGGGTGCCCTGGTGGCCACTCCGGCCTCAACCAAGAACACTCCTCTCCCTTCCCCCCCCCCCCACACCCCCTAACCG